CACGGATTACACGAGCCCCATTTCAAGGGCACAGTGGCTCCATGGGCTAGTGGATCCTTATCAGTGCAGGTAGAGAGCTTCACAATCGCTGCAGGAAGTGCAGTTGGGCAGGACTAGTCTAGGGCCTCCTCCCACAGTGCTAGGAACACACATGTGCAGCAGGGAGCAAGCACTTGACCAGCAAGTGCAGGTATTTGGGCTAAAACCCAGAAGATCCTGACTCAGTGAGTCCAGGGTAGGATCTAGAGATGGGTCCATTTTGAAAAACTCCCCAGGTGATTTCCTTTTTTTTTCTTTCTTTCTTTCTTTCTTTCTTTCTTTCTTTCTTTCTTTCTTTCTTTCTTTTTTTTTTTTTTTTGAGAGATGTTCACTATAGGGCTCATGTGCTCGCCAGACAGACAGAGAGAGACATAGAGACAGAAAGCGAGAAATCACCCCCCAGGGGGGATGGTCATGCCGCAATCCCTTCTCCATTCTCCTCTCGGGATCTTGGGCAGGCACGCACGCACACGCGCTCTGCATGTGAGTTTTAAGCCACCGGGTCGAGGACGTGAACCGCAGTCGACTACATGGGAGTCCAGCGACATAGCCATTACGCTAATTGCTGGTTCCCAACCCAGGTGATTTTCTTACCCAACCCAGTCCGACACTGGTAGCTCATCAGCCGAGATCAGGAAGATTAGGATCTCAGAATAACACATGTACCACAGGGTTGCAGCAGAGAGCTCCAAATGCTGCTGCTTGTAGGAGAGAAGCATTTCTTTCCAAGAGTTAGCATTAACTTATATCCAGCCATACTCAAAAAAGTAAGGAAATACACATCATATGGCACCATCTGCTCTTTCTCCCCCAGGTAAGCATTGGCAAAGAAGGTCAGTGGTATCATTTCAAATCTCTGCTCATGTATCTCTGAATGTCGAAAACATTTGAAGTCCAAGATATGCCAGTGGCTTTAAAAAAATCAGAAAGGATGCCAAGGACTTTTACTTTCTTTATTTCTTTTTAAGTTTGTTTCTTTGTTTGTTTTGAGAAAGGGAGGGCACCCCTAACTGGGTCCCCACGCTACACTCTATCCTCAGCTGGGATGTACACGTGTGCTCAGCTTGTACAGGGAGACTATGGAGCGCAAACCCAGGACCTTCCCAGGATACCAGCCTCAGGGTGCCTCGCATTCCAGCTGCTAGCCCACCGTTTGCATTTTCTAATGTGAACTGGAGCATAGACAGCTCCAGCACACCAACACCACTCTTCACCTTTCTCAAAGACGTGTGAAATCTAATCTCCTGTGGCCAGCAGGTGGAGTAATCATTAAGGCAATAGATTCCCACATGACTGACCGTGGTTTGAGTCCCAGACCAGTGGTTTGAAAATCATACCAGGTGCATGTGTATGTGTACCCCAAATACTGAGAAGGGTAGAGGAGAAGGGATTATGGTATGGCCATCTTCCATAGGTGGTGACTTCTCACTTTCCTCTGTCTCTTTCTCTTGCTCCAGTGAGTACATGCATCCTGTGGCAAAAAGCAAACCAACAAACTGACTGACTTAAAAAAACCTTCATCTCTTTATGCTTTTGTTTCCTCATTCATTCACTCAGCAAAGATTTTGGAGGGGGAGCAACAGATGGAGTAATGATTATGTCACTGGACTCTCACATGGTTGACCGCAGTTCAAGTCCTGAACCCAGTGCCGTAAAACTCATGCTGGGTGTGTGTGCATATGTGCCTAAAATCCCAAGTGGAGAATGGAGGAGAAAGGATTGCAGTGTGTCCATCTCTCTAGGGGGTGATTTCTCACATTCTGTCTCTCTAGCGAGTACATGTACCCTATAACAAAAATCTCTATAAAAAAAAAAAAAAGACTTTGGAGCACATGAAATGTACCACAGTGTTGTACTCGCTGGATATACAAACCCAAATCCTCATGCATGTCAGTGGTTTAATGTGTGTACATGAAATGCCCCTGGTGCATGAGGGAGACAGACAGTAAGAGAGAAAACCAAACCAGCGCGGAAGTTCTGCACTGTGGTGGAAGGATAAATGCCGAGGGCGAAATAAATCATGAAAGGGCGATCGGTGATGTCAGAGGAGATGTTTCGGTTTTTACTAAGGGGATCAGGAAGCTCTCGCTGAGAGGGTGACAACTGTTGATGTATCACATGACGTGTGTGCGTGTGTCGGTTACACCAACTCTCTCTGTGACTGAAATGTGTTTTCCTTCAAGCTCCCTGGATTCCACAGTGGCTTCTGCCATGGAGAGTAGGCCATTTGCCCCCTCCCTGCAAAGCAAACTTGGGGAATATCACACCTGGCCTCAGTTTGCCATCTGATCGTTGTCTCCACAGCTGCCTCCCCACATCCCTCGCCGTGGGCGGCATCATTCTCCTGGAGCCCTGGCATATGACTTTGCGTGGTGAATCCGACCACCTTGTCTGTGTTTAGCCACGGGAGCAATCCTGTCGTCTGTCCAGCTTCCAGTGGGCCTTGGGGCTGCGCGAGAGAGGAAGTTAGTGAGCAGAACTCTGACTTACGGGCAATTTAAGAGTGCCTTCTTTTCAAGAGCCAGAAACTTTTAAAATATGCAATTAAAAATTGTATGCATGCCCAGAGACCTTTTAAGGCTTTTCAGATATAGTTAACCAAAAATAACTCTCTTCCCTAGGTGCCAGACTCCTAGTGCAGCAGGGTATAGTGACTTCTTTTTCTCCTTTCTTTCTCCTCCTTTCTCTCTTTCCTTCTTTCATAACATTTTTGACAGAAAAGAACTGGGCAGGTGCAGAAGTGGCGTAAGTGAACCTGGGAGTGGCAAAAAAGTCAGCTCCTGGGATTATGTGCACTATTTAGAATAGAATAAGCAGAGAACTTCCAGTAAACTTCAATTTTGGAGACACATCTAATAAAACTCAAAATATAACTTTCTCATTTTTTCGTGTGTGAAAAATGTTAATTGCGGATATATCAAAAACACTCAGTAACACCTTAGGAAGCATTTTTGGAAGTTATTTAGCTATATATCCATCAACTGATTTATTTTAAAGAGGACAGCGGAGGGGCCAACAGATGGCATTGCAGTTATGTGACTAGACTCCCACATGACTGACCATGGTTCAAGTCCCTGACCTAGTGGCTTAAAACTTAGGCTCTGCCCAAGATCCCAGGAGGAGAAGAGAGGAGAAGGGATTATGGTAGGCCATCCCCCCTGAGCGGTGATTTTTCACCTTACCTCTCTCTATCTCTTCCCCATCCCCCCTCGAGTGCAAATACCCTCAGGAAAAATCCTCCAAAAAAATTTAAAAATAGGACAGCTGAATTTGGAACTGTGGGGCTCTTAGTAACTAGTTTCAGGACTTTTGTGGGTTTTTAAAAAACTCTCATAAGCTACATATCGTACATTTTTTTGGTACAATACATCTTAGTAGTGAGGGTGTATGTCCATTTCACAAATTGTTCAAAGATGCAAATGAATAGGAAAAGAATCAGTTGGATTTGGAATTCAATTCAAAGAAACCATCCTGAATTTTGAAAACAGTGATTCTACATATTTGTCAAATTATTCTTTTGACCATACATGCACTTTCCGCATAAGTTTTGTTTCTTTAAAATTTGTACTCAGGGGACCAGCAGGTTGCAGCATGGTGGGTAAGGCGCTGGACAGTCCCACATGGTCAACTGTGGCTTGAGTCCTGGACCAGATGGCTCACTTTCTCACTTCCTCTCTCTCTCTCTGTCTCTCTCTCTCTGGGCAAATTAAAAATGAGTGAATGAATAAATAAAACTGAAAATAAATAATTCTTTAAGAAAAGTCTTTTTGCTCAGTGGGTCTTACATGTGGCAGCATATCGGAGCCGTCTTGTAAAATAAAAATTAAAACAAAACAAGACTCCGAAGACCAACTCATTTTTCTGTAAAGGAGTTCATGGCTGCCCAGTTGCTGTCAACTGTGCAGCCTGAGAGAAAGGAGTGCGTCAGACAATTCTGACCGATTTCATCCTTCTCTCGGACCTTAAAGCTGGTGTGCTATGTGTGTAATACCCTTGCCTCAACAGAGGGACCAAGGAGCACCTTTACTAAAATCAGGAGAGGACTTTCTCAGACACATGGTACCCAAAGACCCCAGGGCATGACTGTGGGGAGTTGTCCACAGTAGGCTCCCCTTTTCTCAGTTTTGTGTTTGCAAAAACAGATTTAAGTCCAATACAGTAAGATATTTTTTTTTCTAACTTTATTTATTTATTTTTAATTTGACCAGAGACGGGCAGAGAGAGAGAGAGAGAAAGCAAGCACCAGGTCCCATGGTTTAAGTCCCATGGTCAGCCATGTGGGCGTCCAGTACCTTTAACCACCACTCCACCTGCCGGCCCCACAGTAAGGTATTTTTTAAGAAGAATTTTTTTAAGTATTAGTATATATTATTATTATTATTGTTTAATTTGACCAGAGAAAAAGAGGGAGGGAAAGTGAGAAAGCAAGCCACCAAGTCGGGTACTGAAACCATGACTGGCTCTGTGGGGGTCCAGTGCCCTAACCATCACACCACCTGCTGGCCCCCAGTAAGGAATTTTGAGAAAGGGAGACCTAATTACATAATTTCTATTACAGTAGAGTGTTATAATTACTTTATTTTGTTATTGTTGTTAATCTCTTACTTGACCACATTTCTCGATTAAGCTTTATCACAGGTATTTATGTACAAGGGGTCTTCAGAAAGCTCATAGAAAGAGCATATGAAAAACTATGCATGAATTTCTAAATTTTTTGCACCAAAATAAATTCATACTTTAATTCTATTTTTCTACAAACATTGGAAACACACTCACTGGGGGGGGGGGGGGGCGGAACCAGCAGGTATTGGTATTGATATTGTGCAATTTCAGGCATGCACTGGGAGTCTTAGAATACGCCTCTCACCAATGAGAAGAGAATGTCAAACACGCCGTCTCATGTCTTACTTCCTCGTTTTACTCATGGCGACATTTCTTGTGCTTTTCTTATCTGAATCCAGGCAAACCCTTTTTTACGCGAAATCCTTCTGAATTGAAAGGCAAATTCATTCACACAAAGCTTCGGAAAAGCAGTCGTGGCTTTGGCTTCACAGTGGTTGGAGGGGATGAACCTGATGAGTTTCTTCAAATCAAGAGCTTGGTCCTAGATGGTCCTGCTGCGTTGGACGGCAAGATGGAAACAGGTGGGGTGGCGTGGCCTTAGCGTGTTCCACGCTGAGACTTCTTCCTAGCACCCAAACAAGACCAAACAGCACCAGGGGGTCACAGGTTTACAAATGTTTGTTAAACACCTTGAAAATGAACCAGATCCTTTGATTCCATAAATGCATCCCTTGGTATAGATTGAAAACCTGTGAAGCCTTTTCATGAACTTGTTAGGCTGGTATTGAGTACCGGATAGCAGTGATGTACTACGAGAAAATAGAGATCCACGTGAATAAGTGAGTTCTAAACTTGGATTTCTGCAGTGAAAGTATTTTGTGGAAGGAAATGCTACTGTTCTCTTTGTGATTATTCTCACTGGCAGGGAAGAGATTAGATGCTAAAGGAAAGCGGTACTAGCAGTTGAAATAAGTAATAAGCCATTTCTTCACACCCTGCGATATCGTTCTCAGATCCAGTCTCAGTTCCACTTCATATTGGTAGCATACAGGCAAAAATTTTACTGCTGCCCTTTGTAGGGTTAAGGCTGGGCCGTATTTAAACTGACAGAAGACATGTTACCAGGAGAAAAGCGTACACATTTATTTAAGATGAATTTTAGGTGACACGGGAGCCCTGATAAGAAAATCAACACCCAAAGATGTAGTCAGGAATGAACATTCACATGCCCCTTGGATAAAGAGTAGTAAGTTGTGAAACTGTGACAAAGCAGAAGGGTTTGGACTTGGGTCATTAAATGGGTAGAGAAGAGACAAGGAAGATAAGGGGTAATTTAACAAGGTTTGTTTGTGTAGATCTTCCTTGGCTCCAGCCTCCTGAACTTGATGATAAGAATGTTACTTTTCTTCCAGTATAAGGAAGACATCTTGTTTAAGGGGTTTAGCTCTTGCTTTTAGGAATAAAAGGGGGGGGGTCCTAAGGGCCCTTCTTGAACCTGCTGTTTTTTTACGTGCCTTTAGCTCGAGATAATCCTTATGCCAGAATGGCCTTTTATGGGATGGTATGTTCTGAACTCCTTTAGGAAGATGTTACCGTAAGATTGATACATTTCAGGGTGCTATGTTTTTTGATCCTTTTACTCTTACCTTTTCCAGGGGATGTAATTGTCAGCGTGAATGACACCTGTGTTTTGGGACACACGCATGCTCAAGTTGTGAAAATCTTCCAGTCGATTCCTATTGGTGCCAGCGTGGACCTTGAACTCTGCCGAGGTTATCCGTTACCTTTTGACCCAGATGACCCCAATACAAGTTTAGTGACCTCGGTGGCCATTTTGGATAAAGAACCAATTATTGTGAATGGACAAGAGACCTATGATTCGCCAGCTAGCCACAGTAGTAAAACAGGCAAAGTCAGCAGCATGAAGGATGCCAGACCAAGCAGCCCTGCTGACGTGGCTTCAAATGGTTCCCATGGGTACCCCAATGACACTGTCTCTTTGGCTTCCTCTATAGCCACTCAGCCGGAACTCATAACCGTTCATATAGTCAAAGGGCCAATGGGCTTTGGTTTCACCATCGCAGACAGTCCTGGCGGTGGCGGCCAAAGAGTGAAACAGATTGTTGACAGTCCCAGGTGCCGAGGCCTGAAAGAAGGGGATCTTATAGTGGAAGTTAATAAAAAGAACGTGCAGGCTCTAACTCACAATCAAGTCGTTGATATGCTGATCGAATGTCCAAAGGGAAGTGAGGTCACACTGCTCGTGCAGCGAGGAGGTACGTAGCTTTGTTTTGTTCTTTGAATTTATTTATTTTTTTAACCTCAAATCCATTGCTTAACATACTGGTCAGGTGACTGCTGAGGCTTTTTAAACGTCTGTTCCTTTAAGATAATTTTTATTTATGTGTTTGAAATGCATTCAAAATGCCCCCTTGATTTCTCCACATGCAAGCCTCTTTAGAATAAAGCTTCCTCTTCATACGCTGTGTTACATGCATGCAATTAGAGTAATACTGTAAATATCACATGTGTAGTAGAGTTATAAATCAATCAGACTCTACCTTTAATATTTTAGAACCTTTATTTATTTATTTATTTATTTTTTGTAGAGATTTTTTGCTATTAGGCACATGCACTCACCAGCGACACAGAGAGAAAGTGAGAAATCACCCTCCAGGGAGAATGGCCACACCACAATCTCTTCTCCTCTATTGTTTTCTTGGGATTTTGGGCACACATGCACATGTGCCTGGTGTGAGTTAGCCATGTGGGAGTCCACTATGCCACCTGCTGTCCCCAGGACCTTCGTTCGTTAAGTCTCCTGAACTTGGCCTACACAGGCTGCAAAATACAATTCCCAGCCACTCCCCCAACCTCATTTCACACCCTTTTCCTTCTAACTGCGCTGTAGCCACTCTGGCTTCTTTTCTGAATTGCCTTTAATGCTTCTGGTTGCTCTCTCTTGCCTCAGGGCCTTTGAACTTCCTATCCTTTCATTTTCTTTCTCTTTCTCTTTCTCTCTCTCTCTCTCTCTCACTCACTAGACTATAAACTCTGCAAAGCCAGGGGCCATATCTACCTGGCACAACAGTTTTTTTCAACATTTAACACACCCGACTATTTTAGATGCTTGTGAATGACTAGGTGTTAAATACATGTGTGTAATCATACTCAGCGGGAACAATAGTGCCTCCTATCATGTCAAAAGCATGCCTCAGCCTACTCCCATTTTAATGAAATTATTGAGGATCACAGAGAACTGGACTAGTCAAAATCTTGAGGTCTGAGGTGTCCTTTTTCCTCCCTGCCTGCACCCCCACCCCTGCCCCACCAGGAATTCCAGCCCCACCAGACCTTACACTGGGGCTGTTTTCCACAGTGTTGCAATGTCTTACTCCTGGGATATGTATTTGTGAGTAGTTATTACTGATCATCTCAAACAGTGGGCCTGAGACTGGTCATCCCACCAGCCCTTCTCAGCACGATTTGCCTCATACATAACGTATTTGGGTCTTCTGCAAAGAGATTAAGAAACAGACTTCAATTTCCTCTTGGTTTTGTTGCAAGAAAGGAACTCATGTATGTTCCAGCAGCCACATTCTCATGCTCTCGTGAAGCTGGGTGTTGTGTGGTCAGAATGCTTGGTGTCGTTGGAAGGAAATCCAACAGAGCCACTATCAATGTGAATCGAATGTTCAATGAACTTTTCTTCGGCAGTTACTAAAGGCCCTGTGCAGATTTTCTTTTTTAGCTCATTGTTTCTACCGAACCATTTCGAATTCTCCTCTCATGCATAGATCACTTGACTGCCCGGGTGACTGATGATGAAACAGTAACTGAGACATCATAGGAAACAACCTGAGCATAGCAACGATGAGGATAATGATGGTGATGGTGGCGATACCTGGCACTTATATACAAATAGGTGGTTTGCAAAGCACTTTCATAGCTGCACACTCCCTCCTCTAATCTTTCCCTCTCCGCTGGGCGGTAGGGAGGTACCAGCCCACAACGGGACTGACAAGTGGTGCCAATCTAGAGCTCTGCTCTGCCTGACGCTGAGGAACACCAGTCTTTGCATAATCGCTGCTATCTGTGGCCAACAACTTGGGAACTTTTTAATAGTTCCCAGCACCTAAGGTGCATCTCTGATTCAGCCACTGCTCATACGACCTTGTCATGTCACCTTGTCCTCCTATGTCATCTCTTTGCTCATTCGTGTCTGTTAACGCTGTGTCGAGTCCTGCCATCCCCTCAGATTCACTTCTTTTTTTTTTTTTGGAGAGGTTTTCGCTATAGGGCACGTGCGCTCGCCAGACAGAGAGAGACAGAGAGACAGAAAGCAAGAAATCACCCCCAAGGGGGGATGGTCACACCGCAATCCCTTCTCCTCCATTCTCCTCTTCGGATCTTGGGCACACACGCACATGCGCCCGGCGTGAGTTTTAAGCCACCAGGTCCGGGACGCGAACCGTGGTCAACTACGTGGGAGTCCAGTGACATAGCCATTACGCTAACTGCTGGTTCCCCAGATTCACTCCTAAAGGGACCAAATATAAGGTCATGCTACGAGGTACTGACTAGAAATGCTTGCTGGAAACCTTGTAATGAATTTGAGTAGCCTAGCAAAACATCTGATGAGGAAAACACTTCCTAAGGCTTTCTTTTTTCTTAATACGATTACATTTTATCACATTAATATGGAACAATCCCAAATCTATTGGCGTATTAGTCAATATTTTCATAGTTTATTCCAGAACCTGAGTAATTTACAATCACTGTAACATCAGCAGTGTTTAAAATATGCCGTGTGCCTTCTGTTTGATTTGTGTATCGGATAGGAAGTTTGTACATCTTCTGCAGCGGCAGGTTATGCCAGCTACCATTAATCTTTCTTGAAAGCATATAAATATACTTGTTTCTGCCATACATTAGTTCTTTGAATCAGAGCTGACATTTAATCATCCCTCCTGTACATTGGGTGTAATGAGAAGGTTTGATGAAGGAACAAAACAGCCAGGTTAAATAGGAAAGCGAATGGCCACTTCACTGATTCGTTCTAATGAATCTCATTTCTGTCGTAGCTCTAAGTAAGCAGATTGATAAACTCATTAAATCCACACCGTTTGAGTCTTAGGAATTCATAGCATGGGGATGAGGTGTCTGTGCTTCAAAGAATGAGCTTTTCTACTTTGAGGCAGAGTTGCCCGTGACTGTAGCATCTATTTTCGTTTTTAATTTCCCAAGCTCATTTTGGACATAGTTCTTGTCCAAAGTCAATACGTTTTTTTAAAATTTTTTTAAATGTTATTTATTTATTTGAATAAATTTTGCCATGCCATCATGTTCCACACTCAGCCAGTGTACAGACTAGGACTGCAGGCACACACCTCCCCACCAGCTCCCTTACTGCCCCACCTGCCAGCCCC